ATATGAAGAATGAAAATACAAAACTGAAAAGGAAAAACCAAATTATAGGTTGTTATTGACATCTCGCGTAGACAGTCAAATGCATACTGAAGAAAAGAAAAGGAACACCATTCATCACTTAACTTTTCACCTATATCATGGTTCATCTCCATTTATAGCAATTTATTCAATTGATCTTACAACAAAATTGTAGATTTCATATTTTTACTTTCACATACATATAAATGAAATATATAGTGAGGAAAAGAATTGCGATTGTGAAAAAAGAGTCCAGACAACCTAGATCTCGCAAAATATCGATTATGACAATTCTGTGAATTTTTTTCAAACCTAAAACATTAACGACCATAGTGAGCGGGTAATGAGATCTAAAAACTAACTTGTCTAAGATATCACTTCGACCCTACAAAAAGATACCCCATCTCAGTGGTAGAAGAGGATGTTACAATTTTGCGAGTGTGCGTGCTTACGTGCGAACGGTTTTTTTTTTTTTTTTTTGTATGTGTCTGTGTGTCTGTGTCTGTGTCTGTGTGGGAGAGAGTGAGAGTGAGCATTTGTAATTTTTGAATATTTATTTTGCTACGATTATTACATTGAGAATCTTTGCTTTTTCTTTTTATATGATTGAAAAGAACAAAAAAAAACATTGTTGCTAAAGACATCTCACTAAGCCATCAAAATATATTCTGAAGGAAAGAGGAGAATCTATTGGCACAGCTCAGGAAGGTTATATCGAACAGCTGATTAGCAGGTATACAAGGAAGAAAAGAAAAATATATATCATAACCAAAATATAATAATACAAAACGTGTTAAATAAAATAAAATTACAAATTATAATTAATAAAATACTTATGCATTGCGATATATAACAATAGATACTATTTATTTATTTAAAACCCTGTTCTGGCAATACGGGTTTACCTCCAATAGTACGGTTATATAATAGCAACCATAATATTTTCTGTGATTTATCGCTTCATTTTTTTATTATCAGTTTCTACGGTTTTAGATTCCTTGAAATTCCAGACTTTATTAATTACACTTTTTAAATAAAATAGAGAGAACGTGGCATAAGCTTTTTTCCTTACTTCTTTCAATGTATTTAAATCTGCTATTTATACTGATTTTTAAAAATATTCTTTTATTACGTTATATTTTAAAGGAAAGTGGTGTCATGGATAATAATTTATTGTGATATTGCTGGTCCTCTCTTCATTCTGTTGTAATTTTTTTTTCTTTTCTCCTATTCAAAATGTCTATATATTTTAATTTTAAATTCTTTTTTCTTTTTGCTGGGATGTATGCTATTCTCTGTTTTTGGCAATAATAAACTTTATTAAAAATTAAATCGTAGTTACATAAAAAATAAACATTTAAAACAATAGTAAAAAATAAATAGTCATATCCAAAGGTCAATTGTATTCACCATGGTAGGCACCCAATAATTGGTCTAAAAGCTTTATGATGCTCTGGATATTAACTACTATAATTTGTTATAACATGAATTTAGAACCTGACAATGGAGCACATTAGACTTAAGGTAATTACAAATTTAATGTAACAACTCAATTATAACATGTATTGTTCTAAGGGGACATCGTCCCAGAATAAAGTTTATTTTCTATTCTATTGTAACATGCATTGTATTTAACTCATTTTTAGCCATGAATCGGCAAGGGAACATGGGATTGTAGCTCTGAAGATGGCAGTAAATTCCTCGAAACGTAAACATGTAAACTTGGAAATTCAACAAATAAATCTATTGTTGCTTAGTTGGAAGTTTATTACTGCCAAAAACAGAGAATTTAATTTTAACTTTTTAGCGAGTTATGTAATAAGCGATAATATTAGTTGACATCATAAAATATAAAAAAAATTATGTGAACATTAATTTTTCTTTCTCCAGTTGATAGTCCATGCTGCAGAACCCCTTTTATCGAATTTTTATCATCCACCTAAATCTCATCGTAACTTGCAAATGTTTTACAACGAAAATTCTCAGAAATGGGGCGTTTTCTCATTAAATTAATTTAATTAGGTACTAAAGACTGACAAATATCCGATTGCTTTCTATTGGAATCGCAAGTTAATTTGATCACACACAGACAAAAAAAAAAAATGGCCTACAAAAATATTGGGCTGTTTAGCCTTTGATCTTTTTTATATATCGGTGACAGAGGTCACGCCAAAGGGTCCATTATTTTTGCAGGCCACATTCATTCTCGATTTTATGATAAAATTATCTTACGATTCAAGTGTTGATGAGATTTAATGGGTGTTGATGAGATTTTAGCACATAATAAAATAGACAAATTTGGCTGATCTGAAGATCCATGTGAACATCGAAAACACTCCAATACTGAGAATTTTAGTACATAACGAAGTTGTAGGCTACGACGATATGAAACTATTCAATAATTTTAGGCGTATGCTAATAATTTTATAAAAAGGGACCTGTACCTCAGGCTATGGACTTTGTAATAACTTTGCTGACGTAATTTAGAGGAGTTAGATTAACCATTTTATGGTTTCCATTATTAAAATATAATGAGGATTACATGACCTTTTTATTGCAGGTAGAAAAACTATTGCCATTTGCGAGAAATGTGGCTGACATCAAGGAACCGGTGGAGCATGTCACCAGAGAAAGTTTACTCTGATGTTAAACAGACTGTCACCATAAGGAGGGGGACTTATACCCCATTAGCCCCTCCCCCACACAATTTTTCCCTTTGATGACTTTCTACCCTGCACCGGACGGAGCGTGACGTCATTACCTCTCGTCTTTCTTTGCTCCGCTATATTATTTAGCATTTCTCAGAGATTTTCCAAAGAAGCTGAACGATTTATTCGATTAGGATAGAATTTTCGGTTTGACGCCCAGTCGTCATAAAGTGACAGCCTGAATGTGTCTTGTATAATCGTTGGTAATGAACCAATGCTACCTTGCGAATTAATGATTCAAAATAACGTGATGTATAAAGTATACATGCATCGAGGGGCTGAATACAAATCTCAACTCTGTTCTACTTTCTGTAATTTCAACTCTGTTTTAGATAACTGCAGATAAAGATTTCTCAATCTTTCATAACTATTTCCACCGAACTTTTGGGAGGATAATACTATTTTTCTTCACGTCTCCATCAAATACCCTTTCATTTGATACCTCAGTCGTCAAAATTAATATGGCGCCATTCATAGGGCGTCTGGCCTTACTTCTTGTACAACAGCCCTGATGAAGGCCTGAACTTCGGGCCGAAACGTTGGCCAATGTAAAAATAAATAAAATTATTTATATTTGCCATTTTCATTTGACTGATCATCCCAACCATCCTTCTCTCAATTATTCACTAAAGTCAACCATAAACCCACAATTAGTCAACATTTATAGTTATCAAAATTTTTCACAAAATCACTTTTCGGAAAAAAAAACTATATAGCTTTGGTGAAAATTTTAAGCAAAAAAGTTTTACTTTTCGATTGCTATAAAAAATTCCCATTTGGACTTGAGGGTTCTTCGGGGTGCTAAATAAGAATCTCACTCTTTCTCATTTTTTTTTTTTCAGAAATATTACAATCTGTCACAATTAAGGACATTTATAATAGTGTTCAGAGAGCACATTCACATTCTATTTACTATAAATAAAAATAAATAATACAGAAAGATTAATACTAAAAGTAATTGCTCATAAACCAAAGACCGAAACTAATCAAAATAACAGCTGAAGCACATGCATACTATATAATACTGTTTCTCCTTAAAAAAAAAAAACAAAGTGTTTGAGATATCTGCAACTAAAAATTTGTCTCTTTCTTTCATGACTTTTTACGTTTTTACGTTAAAACTTGACTATTGTTGGATGAGACTATTGTTATTCACGTCTCCATCAAATATCCTTTCATTTGATATCTCATGCATCAAAATCCATGGTTATCAAAATTTTGGTGCTTTTCGAAAAAAAATAAATAAAAGGTTTTCGATTGCTACGAAAATTCCTATTTGAGGCTTCTTCGGGGTGCTGAATACGAATATCAACTCTGTTTCTCCTTAAAAAAATGTTTGGGATATCTGCAAATAAAGAATTTTCCGTTTCTTTCAAGAATAAAATTCATCTTCAAACGGACACATAACCTTCATATAACAATATATATTCAGCAACATAACCTTCTGACACAATAAGGAAAGTCGTTATAGTGAGAAAAGAGTTCATTCACACCACGATTTGGAATATTTAGAAACGAAGCCGGAAATATTATATTGCCTTTCTTATTCTTAATAAATATTAAATTTTTGACAATTTATTTTCTCTCTTGAAAACTTGGATGACCTTTTTTTTTTTTATTACTTTATCGTAATGATATAATATAATAATTCACAAATAATTTCTTATATAGAAAAATATTTTTCATTATAGTTTAGAGAAAATTATTTTATTCATTGTAATACTGTCCTACTGCATACAGAGAATACTGGTCAATCCCATTTGGACATAGCACTTACATTACGTTATTATTATATTTTTTTTCCTTTATTTTCATAACACTATTAATCATATATATTATATATATATTGCATATAGGTATGACTGTTTTTTCATGTTTTTAATTTACTTATCTTTAAGTTATTTTATTTGTTATTGTATATAGTTTTTGATTATTATTTAGGTATAATTTGACTTTCGTTAATTTTATGTATTCTATATATACCTATTCCTGTTATAAATATTGTTGCAAGGAAATATATACAGATTTCAACAGAAAAATTAATTGTTTCAAAAACTTTATTAGATAATAAAATGTATATCTACAGACGGTAAAAAAAAAAAAAAGAAATTACTCAAAATGTCCCCCTTTTGCCTTGACACAGACATTTAATCTCCGTGGCCAGTCATCAATAGCAGCAGCACGCAACACTTCTTTAGGAAAGCGCTCAACTGCTCGGACCAGAGATTGTTTGAGGCTTTCCGTGATAGTGTGTGCTCTGTGGCATGCCATCCTCTACAGTTCGGACCAAAGCCGATCATCTAGTGGGTTGAGATCAGGGCTTCCTTGATGGCCAATCCGAGGCAGAGATGAAATCTGGAACGCTCTTTTGCAGCCACTGCTTAGTTGACCTGGCGTTGTCAGCTGGAGTGGAATGATGCTGGAAAACCTCCTGAAGTCCTGACTTCCAGTATACAGGGTATTATTTAGAGGCTTAACAATATGACAGTTTTTAGCAGCTGTTTTAACTCTTTTTTTTCACAAAAATGGAGCTTTGTGGGGCCATCAAAGCAAACTCCCCACCAAACTGAGGAAGGGTGATGACATCTTTCCACTCTTCCAATGACTTCCTGGGCTTCTTTATAGCTGTGTGCGTACACACGATCATTTTGGCGATTAAATTTTTCTTTAATTGTAAAAATTTTCTCACCGCTAAACAAAATCTTTCAATTAAGACCACTGGTGTAACGGCCAAGGAGCACTTTGCCTCTATCCACTCTAAAGTTTTTTAGAGAAGTGGTTAGCCTTTGTCCTGTCAATCTTCAAAATGCACACATCCTAAATTCACTTTTTATTATGCAAGACATTGATCTGACAGAGATTCCCATTTCCGGAGACATGATTTGTTGTTTTGAATGGGATTTGTTCTGATTCGAGCAGCCACTGCTCTCACTGCATTTGCCATTCTCACGGTGTGGGAACGGCCCGGTCGAGGTCCGTCTCATACAGATAGGGTCTCACTATATCTGTTTATAATGCGGTACCTGAAAATACGGCTGATACCCAAAGGTTTAAAAGTGTTAAAAATCTCTGACCTACATTTCCCAACTTTGTGTAAGGCGATCACAGGTCAGCTATTCGGTTTTCTTTATCATCCCACTCCATGTTAACTGAGCGAAAGAAAAATATAAACTAATTGGAATTATTATCCTGATATGTAAAAAAATAACCTGATCGAGGTAAGGATTATCTAAATAATACCCAATGATGTAAGTTCAACTTTTGTAACAGTATTTATGGCAGAACTAAGTATGTTGTGAATGTGTTCATGTCTCATTATATTATTGTACGTGTAATAGATTATTATATTTCTCAATAAATAAATAAAATAATCATATAAATATCATTAATATATTATGTTCTAAAGTCCTAAGGGAGATTATTTTGTAATGAGATATCGGAAAGTTTGACAACCTTACTCTTCCAAAATTCATTTTATTTATTTATAAACGTTCCAGGATTTTATATCCCATCTTCAGACGGTAATAGGAAACAATTATATATATATACATATATTTTTTTTTCTGTAGTGATCCCGTTGCTCATCCTCTGTCATTAATATATGTATATATTTTGTATGCTTTAGCTGTTGGGTTTTAACATAAGTCAATTTTTTTTTTTTACGTAATTTTGTTATTTTTTCTTTTCTGGAGGTTTTACTTTTTCTTTCTATACAGGTAATTCTTTTTTTCTTTTTGTCATTCTTCCAGTAAAATAATAAGTATAGTTGAGAAGATTTTATTTTATTTTTTAGTAATTTACATACTATTATTTAAGTTGTTGTATATGTTGTTTGAATCTTTATTAAGTTAGTTATTGGCCAGATATGTATTTTTTCTTTTGTAACTGTTCATTATTGTTATTCTAAGGGGACATCGTCCCAGAATAAAATTTATTTTCTATTTTATATATATATTTTATATTTATATAATCTATAATTATATATTATGTAACGACCGACATCAACTAACATATTTTCAGAATAACAATATTATTTAATTTTAACGTTGTCATATATTATGACTGAACTGAATTACTTATTATTTTTTTCCAAAATGTTTCTTATTCATATAGATAGAATAAATTTTGCTAGATCGTAATTTCCTAAACAATTTGCTGAATTTTTGTAGAGAATTATAACCGTTCATTTATCACAGATTTGGTTAGCTAAAAAGAACTCAATCCAATGTTTTGTTATTTGTAACAACTGACAACTATGACTGCTTCTTTATTTTCCCAATGGAATTCATATTAAATTTACTCTATTTTTTTCTTATTTATGCCTACACCGGACTTATTTAATGTTAGCTGGATTAAGCTAGATAAACAAAAAAATTAATTAATTGGTAATTGGTTGACTGTCGTGGATAATGAAGAGAAGAATAGTTGGGGTGCTCAGTCAAAAAGGAAGGCAAAAAAATAAATTATAATATTTATTTACTTACTTCTTTTATTTATACTTCTTTCACATCTTCTGGTAGTACTTCTTTTATTTCTTTCTTATTTCAGCTTTCTCAATTTCTTCCCTCCTTCCTTTCAATCCTTTCCTCCTTTTTTAACTCTTTATTATATTATACATTGTCTGTACATCTTGATAGACTTTACAATATCTCAATTTTCTATCTAACTATTCCATTCTCAATGTTTTAATTTTACTATTTATTTTATTTTCATTTCTTATATAACTTTATATTTCTTTTTTTTGTTTTTACATTTTATTCTAAGATTCCCAATGTAACACTTTTGTCACCCCTTTTTGATTATGCCTACTTCATCATTCCACACTATGTAACAGTTTTTATTATTTATCTCTTAGTTCTTAGTCATTATTTTAACAATTTCATTTTACTTTATATCTATCTATTTTATTTTTCTAATAATTTTTTATTTTATTTTATTTTCTCATTTTTTATTATCTGTTTTACCATCATTACTTATGTTTCTCATACCTTGTTATCTGGTTATTTTCTTAGCCCTGATGAAGGCCTGAACTTCAGGTCGAAACGTCGGCATATGTAAAGAATAAATATTATATGAGAAGGAATTAGTCGAGGGTGCGGTCAAAAAATAAAAAAAATTAAAATATATAAATAATTTTAATTTTTGCCGACGTTTCGACCCACTTTGCAGGTCGTCTTCAGGGCTACAAAAGATACAAACATGTTGAAAAAATAAAAATAAAATAAAAAATAAATATAAGTATATATAAATTACGAAGAAGTTGTCAGATACAGAAATAAAAGATAAAGAAAATAAATACATGATAAGAAAATAGATAAAAGAAAATAAATACATGAATGTTAACGAATAAATTGATTGAAAATTGAATAACTATTGTTACAGTAAAGTTAAAATATGGATAAGATAACATAATAATAAGACATCAGTGGATAACAAGCAAGTGGAGGTTACCTTTAATTGTAAATAAACAGATAACGGGACCAAAGGTTAAGAAGTGAAGAAATTGAAAGATTAATAGGGTAACATTAGTGTAATATTGTTGGGATAGATTATTAAGTATAAATAACTCTATAAGAAAACAATAATTTTAAAAGAATACTTTAAAATGTAAGAATAAATGTAAAAACAAGGTTATGATGATAAAGAAACAAAAAACAGGTTAGGAAACTGTGGGGCTATGGTGTTTAGGTTACCATAGCCCCACAGTTTCCTAATGACATATTTCTTATAAAAAAATACGTCGATGACCTTCTTCTCATCGTCAATCCTGATACTATTCCTGACATCCTTTCCGCCTTTAACTCATATCATCCCCGCCTCTCTTTTACAGTTGAATACGAAGATAACTATTCCCTCCCATTCCTCGATCTTCTCATTAAAAGACATCCCAACAATACTTTATCCACAGACTGGTACACAAAACCAACATACTCTGGCAGATTACTCAACTACTATTCTCAACACCCCTTTCACCAAAAACTTAACGTTGCCAAAAACCTCATTCACCGATGTTTTTCTCTATCTGACCCTTACCTACATGAAACAAACACTAGACGCATACAACGGATACTATTGTCTAATAACTTCCCCTCCAACACCATTAAAAAACTTATTACTGACTACAAAACCCGCCCCTCATCCTCCATCCCTTTCTCTAGTTCTCAAAATCAGCCCCCCATTCCTTTATATAGATCTCTACCATACATCCCTTTACTTTCGGATAGAATTCAAAAATCTTTACGTTCCTCTATTCCCAACCTGCGAGTTGCTTTTAAAAACTATAACAAACTTGCCAATATTTACTCCAACCTAAAAGACCCCATCCCTCCGCAACACCGCTCTAATATCGTATACCGCATTCCTTGCTCTACCACCAATTGTAACTCCGCCTATATTGGAGAAACCAAAAATCAACTTAAAGACCTCATCAAACAACACAAATACTCAATTACTTCTAAGAACTCTACTGCTTCTAAACTCTCTGAACACGCCTTAACCTCAAACCACACATTTGACTTTGACAATACCTCCATTCTTGCCACAGTACCTAACCACGACAAAAGACTACTTACGGAAAGTGTTTTCATTCAATTAGACTACAAACCACTTAACTTAAAAACCGACAAGCATAATCTATCACTCGCCTACTCCCAAATCATCAACATTTTAAAAAAGTCTCGATCATAAACCTCTATTTAATCTTCTCACTTCCATTTATACTTTCTTTTACTTTTCCTTTTATATATATATATATATGTGTGTGTGTGTGTGTGTGTGTGTGTGTTTGTATGTGTATATATGTGTATGTATGTATGCGTTTATTTTTACTAGAACTTTTTTTTTTTTTTTTTGACACTGCTAACTAGAGTTTTTGACACTGCCAGTGTTTCAACCGCCTCCCGCAGTGCCACATCCAACGCCCTGAAGACGACCTGCAAAGTGGGTCGAAACGTCGGCAAAAATTAAAATTATTTATATATTTTAATTTTTTTTATTTTTTGACCGCACCCTCGACTAATTCCTTCTCATATCATATCAACGGTCAACCAACTCTACATCATTAATAAATATTATAATTTATTTTTTGCCTTCCTTTTTGACTGAGGACCCCAACTATTCTTCTCTTCAAAAAAATTAATTGCTTTATTAAAGAGCTTACATACTGATGAAAACAAAACAAAAGTACTGAGAAAAACTAAGTGCAATAGTTATTTACTTTTGAGTATAGACGAATAAAACCAAACCTGAATTTGAAATGTATTATCAACGCTCAGAAATATGAGAAAGAACTCTAAGTTTTAACTTCTTATTCATAAATGAAGTTGAAATTGAAAGAAATATTTGGGATCTCAAAAGAACCTCTCCCCCCCCCTCCTCCCATGATACTAGTTAATAATTGAAATGTTTTTATTTAGTTTACAATGTATGAGTTAAGAAAAAAGAATATTTAATTTATTTATTTGTTTTTTTTTTTGTTTATATAATTCATAGTGTATATGACAAAAGGTAGGTGCAGACTTTGCCTTTCGGTAATTGGCGCACGCTATAGGAACAGATGGTTAGTGACTGATGTTAAGTGTGCACCACTTAACGCTCGCGAATGAGTTTAAAATAAACTGTTTAATGCAAGATTTATGTCTGATTAAT